TTTCATCCTGTTACCTTCTCTTCACTAGTTCAGAATCAAAAGACATATCTGACAACAATTAAAGACTTTTATTTAAAAATAAAAATTATTTCCTTTATCATGTTCTAAAGAAAAAATATTATTCAAGACAGTAATTTAAATCAGAGGTATGACTTTTTTTTTTTTTCAAATTTTACATAACTACATGTAGAAATTTGAATTTTTATGATATTAAAAATATTAATTTCTATTAATATTATAAAAAACATAATTTTTTTAAATATTGATATTAAATATTAATTTTAAATTTGAACATAGTTTTTAAAACAAATTGAAAGTGCAATAATAAAATTGTGCAACATAAGTAGAATGTTAGTAATATCAAAATTCTATAATAACTAATACATGTATGTTTTATTTTCTACGCACAGTTGCGATGGCTGGAATTCTCAATAGCTTTCGATGTCTGTCATGGCGTGGTTAAGGCATACGATGAAGATAATAAAACAGAAACTTTAAGAATTTTCTGTCTTTATTTTCACGCATATAAAATCGTCTCCATAGATGTTTATCCAATCATAATGAAATCCGAGACATTTCTACAATTCAATCATAATGAAATACGATAAAGTTTTATGTATAACGATTCTTGAAATTACGACGCAGACGGTTTAGATGGGGAAGCAAAGCGAGGAGTTATTAGCCAGGAAAAGAGTGACGCAGTTTTGAAGAAAAGAGTGACGCAGCAGAAAAGAGTGACCGAGGGTATTTTTACAAAGTACACGCAGTGAGTACTCTAAGCTATGATTGATTAGTTTGAGGTTGTTATATAATCATCAAAGATTCTCAAATTTGGGATAAAAAATGAATTTAGGGGAAGAGCACCAAATTTAGAATGTTAATTTTGAGATCGCCAATTATGTTTTAAAAGCAGATATCATACTTTGTTATGTCAAAAGTCGTTAATCCGGACTCGTCGGGACTTTGGCGATTCCGGATTATCAATTTTTCCGGATTATAGAGCATCAGTTTAAATCTCGTAAGATGGCATGCAGAAATTCTAAAATTAAAAATATGAAACCGTAATTTATGAAATAAAGAACAATTATGATCTAAAGGGTATCAAAATTTACAAAAAAAAAAAGCTTAATATTTATGTTTACTTTATTAAACATTTCTTTCAATGCAAGTTGTTTAAGTTGCTTCGTTTTATGAGATAATACTTTCTCTTTAATTCTATAAACAGACATAATTTCTTGTTCAGTTACAAAGTTCTGCTGTTCAAGTCCCGTAATTGCTGTGCCGAGAATACCGACTAACTTGTCAATCGAAATTTTTTCGTTTTCATTAACCTCTCTGTCACCTTCTTCATGTCTTTATCCATTTTTTGCAGCAATTCCACTTTTTGTTTGATGGACATCGGAACATACTTTCGTTTTGTAGAACCTTTGGGAGCTCCAGTATCGGAAATTCTATTTGACAAAATCAAAGTTCAAGTTTACTTTTATAAAATTGCTCTTACTGTCTGCAAAAAATAATAAGCCGGAAATAATTCAAAGATTAAGGAACAACGCAATCATCAACATTAATAATTTTAGCATGTACCGTCCGTTATACATAAAACGTGCACGCGAAAACGTATTCTGCGCTTGCGCACACACATATGCGCAGTCGTAAAGGTCTTACGTGCATGCGTAAACGCCTATGCGCATGTGTCAAAGCGGTGCATGCGCAGAAAATTTTTAGCTTTGAGGTCCGGATTATGGGTGTCTGAATTAACGACTTTTGACTGTATCTTACATATGCCCCTTCAAAAGAAAGGTCGGGAGGCAAGGGTGGCAGAAAAGAATTAGCGAAGCAAGACATGGTTTAGTATATGAGAAAGACATGATGAAAAACATCCAGGACATAGCCTGCAGGCTTTAACTATGCTCTAATCTTTCTCATATAATTAAAAAATGCTTACTTATATAATTTTATGATGGAACCTATGATTTATAAATAAACATATGATTTATAAATAAACATATAATTTATAACTAAACATCTAATTTAGAACTATAAAAATTAACCACACTCCATTATATTAAAAAAATATAAATTATTATATACAAAAAATATATATATAAAAGTGGGTGCCTTCAAAGTTTATCTAAACATAAATCCGTAAATTTTAATTAACATAATTCCATACTACTCATGATTCCTAGTACTTAAAAACACTATTTGTTTATCATATTTTATGCTAATTTTTTAAAATTATTTCATTCACTTAAACACATTTTATATTTTTGATTACATCACATTTTTGATACTGTTACGATAGGAACACAGCAGAATGAAACAGTGTCTAAGTGGCACAGAGGTGAAAGCTAAAGCGTACAGTTAAGAAATATGAAAGCACACAAAGAGAAAGGTTTTGGCTTGAGTTAAAAGTTTCAGTTCCCAATTATTATATCATCAGTGCTACGCAGGCCATGCAAAATGGAATGATCTAGAAATGACACAATCCAGAGAAGTTATTATCATTTTTAGAACAGAGAGGGAGAATTGAAGAGTTATTGTTAGTTTAAATTGTAATTTTGATATACATATTTTTTTATCTTACATATATATGTTTCACATCATAAATTAAAATTTTTTTCATGTCCTTTTTATTTATTTATTGTTTGTAAATGGTCCCTTGAAAGATGTATGAATGGTGTCCTACTGCATATGTACCATCAAGAGATAATTAAATAAAATTTGATCATGAAAAGGAGCAACTTTCCAACAGGAGATACTCAAATCAAAATTAAAATAAAAATAATTCTAAACTGAAATAAACAATTTTTTAAAATAATAAAACATAATAAAGTAAAATATAATTTTTGAAAATTTTTCAAAGAGCAGCTGTAAGAATTTTCAACAGAGCCATGTTTCTTAATTACATTTAAATAACTGAAAATTCTTGAAACAGTTTAAAATGAAAATTAATAGAAAGTGGCAAATAAGATTATTTAATTGAAATAATCAAAGTGCTTTAAAAGTACAACAAAGTAAACTTTTTAAAAATAATTTTAATTTAATTAACTATCATGATATGATCTGCTTCGGTATGACCCTAGGATAAGTATTTGAAAAATGAACATTAAAAGAAAAATACTCAAATAAGAAACAAAAAAAAAAAAAAAATAAAAAAATAAAAAAATTGGGTAAATAAAAGCAAGAATAAGCAGAACTGCAAACATTTTGAAAAAAGAAACATATTAAACTCAGCGTAAAATACTTCTAGTCAAAATTTTAAGGAAATTAATTTATTAAAAGCAAAAATATTTTAATAAAAAATTCAGAAAAATTTGCAAATTGAGGAAATATGAAAAACCATATGGAAGTGGAAGGATTATATAGCCTAAAATGTAAAAAGGAATATATATATAAATTAAAGATAAATTTAAAAGGCAATATAGATTGGGAAAATTTATAGTAAAACCAAATAGATCAATTCAAATAAATTCACTTAAAAAAATTAAAAGAAATTAAAACCTAAATGAAGCATCATCCACATGTTAACTGTTGCAACTGCTGAGATGTGAAGAAAAACATACGGTCAGTATATAATTATATATATAATAACACAGTGTTTGTATCATATACAAACAAACATTATAATATACACCGAAGAGCCATTACATTATGACCACCCTCCATCTACAACAATGGGCTCATCGAGAAACAAAGACACTGCATGTGCATAGCTGATGTTGGAGTATATAAAGTGGATATGCATTATCTTTCCAAAAATAGTGTGATTAGTGACATAATGGGAAAAGCAGTCGATTTATCAATTTTGATAAAGGTCAAATTGTTATGGCTTGGCAACTGGGAACATAAATATCATAAAATATAAAATGGCATGTTTAGTGGGCTATGGCATGTCACAACGCACAGTTGTTGTGAGCACATATTGAAAGTGGTGTATGGATGGTGAAACGACAAGTCGCCAGCCAGCAGTGTGTCATCGACGGTACATTGATTCCAGAAGAGAGCTGAGATTGCTATGCACTTTTCACCGTGACTGAAGAGCTACAACAGCCGAAACCCCTACCAGCTACAGTGGCAGCCCAGACAGTGTTTCTCAACACACTGTATGGTATACATTGCTGCGTATGGGCCTATGCAGCTGAAGGCTGAATCATGTCTCTGTACTGATGGCATGGCATTATCTGCAGCGGTGTAAGAAACATCGGAATTGGACATTAGAATAATGGAAGAAAGTTGCATGGTCCGATGAATCACGTCTTCTGGTCCATCAATGAGTGTGTGCTAATATGCTGATTTCCAAATGAAAGCCTGGCTGCCAGATGCACAGTTGGATGGAGACAAGCTGGTGGCAAGGGTATTATGGTGTGGGCAATGTTTTCATGGAGCACACTAGGAATCCCCATAGAGCAATCCTGGATGTCTGTGCGCTACACAAACATCATTGAAGACCAGGTTCACCCAATCATGACAAATGTATTTCCGGCAAGGGATGGTGTTTACTAACAAGATAATGCACCATGCCATAAGGGTCAAATCGTCAGCGAGTGATTCGAGGAACATTCCAGTGACTTTCAAGTCATGTCTTGGCCTCCAAATTCACCTGACGATAATCCAATAGAGCATTTGTGGTCCCACCTAGAAAACCAAATTCGTGCTAACACGCTATCCCCTCGCAATGAGTGGGAATTGCAGGACCAGTTAATTGGTGAGCGCTTGGTACCAGATACCTCAGACTAAGTATCAGCACCTTATGGAGTCAATGGTATTCTGGGTGCTGGCAGTTTTGAGGGCTAAAGGTGGTCCTACATGTTATAAACAGGGTGGTCACAATGTAATGGTCCTTTGGTGTATGTATATATAAGTAACTATTTTAATTAATTGTAATAAAATGCCATATAAAGTGTGTGTATGCCTATATATAAAACAAAATAATATATTTTTCCAATATGCAGCTTTTTTTTTTAATTATACTTCTAGGAAAAAATATCCAAGTTTACCAGAAATAAGGATAATCCTGCTTCTGGTTGAGCATAATTTACATCATAATTTTCTCTGTCAATCAATGCTTTAGACAATTCAGCATGTTCTTGTTTGTAAGATGTCTAAAAAACATTTTATTATAAAAGTAAATAATTTCACAGGGTTATTCAAGCAGATTTTCAGCAGTCTCATGTATAACCTAAAAATTTAGTTTATCCTTTCAAATCTTTATTACTGAAATATGAAATTTCACATATAATTCATAAAAACACATTCCTTTTTCAGTAAAAAAATGAACTATAGATTCATAATCTTCTGGCTTCTACATATTTGGCACAAATATAAAGAGTACAACTGTTACTTTCTGCCACATGCCATGTTCTACAAATAAATTCAGCTTCCCGGACCCCTCCAAAATAAATCCTACAGTGAAACTTTGGTTTACAAACTTAATTTATACTTGAAGCTGAAATACTTTTCTCCAGAGAAATTAATGTAAAATGGATTAATTCATTCTTGGACCAAGATGTTTGCTTATTTTAACTTTACAACAGTACTTGTGCACAAATTCAAAACTGAAAAGCTTTCTTCATGAGCTCATTTTTATAGCCCTGTAATTAACTTCTCCACATCTTCATTGCTGACTTCCTAGCCCATAGTTCTGACTAGAAACATATCACACATTATATATAATGTTTAAAAGTGCTAAATGCCTGTTTGCAACCCAATCTGGCCTTAATTTCTCCCAGGAAAAAGTCATATTCCTATAAATAACTTGCTGTTGACCTGAATATTCATCATCCGAGTCATTTTACATTCACGTAATTTATTCACAAACTGAATCGTTCATGAAGTGAGGGGTTTATGATCCAAGGTTCCGCTGTAAATACTTAAGTAAAATAGCAATTTAAGATACTTAAGTATGATTTTGTTTTCCTCTTCACTGTATGTTATAGATGAAACTGTTAAAGAATTTAATACTGCTTATAAACAACATGGGTAAAAGAAGTAAGAATTGCACATACATAATTTTACACATTATTTTGTCAATAATTTATTTTAAAAACAATATCGAAATAATAATTTTATGTATCAATGTTGTAAAGTCATTAGGTTAATTGGATGCAGAAAAGGTGAAAAATATGCAACCGCCTTTGCCAGGAATCGAACCACAGACTTCTGGAATACCGGCCCAGCGTGCTACCGTTACACCACGAAGGCCCGTTGGAAAGCGGGAGAAATACCTTATAATGTTACTGCAATAGGCCACATGCCAAAAAAAAACAAGTTTTCAAGAGATGTAAGAAACAGAATAGGACTGTATGCTAAATGCTCACATAAAGTTAATTCTATGTCATTATTTTCCTGCAACGTAGTGATGTCTTCTAGGACTTTATTTCAACATTTGGACAAGAAAAGTGGTGACATTTATAGAGCACCAACTTATACAGTATTACTCTTAAAATAAATTCATATGAAATATTGAAATGTAATATGCATTAGTATATTTTTATAACAGCCTACTATAATTCTTAAATATGACTACAGTTTAATATACTTTATAAGATATGTAGATACAATCACAGAACAAACTATAAATAGAAACATCTATTGCTTGAATCTTTTTTTACTCATATTTTCTCCATTATTATTTACAATTATTTAAAGCTTTGATAGTTTTTATTTTTCTTTTATTTCAAAATTTAATATAAAAATATATCAATCAAGTACAAATCATACTATATATGACATACCTTGGATAAATAATATAAAAGTGGTGAAGGTATTTTTAGAGATCTCGATTTTTTTCCTAAAGAAAAAAGGTTAAACAAAATGTTCTTAAAGAAATATAAAATAAAATCCATGGAAATTAATTTTGAACAAATGTATGAAACTAAATCTGTAAATATTAATACTGAAAGAAAAAAAAATACCTTTAGATATAATTAAAAAGAACAGCATCACTGCAAAAATGCCACATGTGATAAGAATGGCTACATTGTTCAGTTCATATATATGAATAGTAGTAGGATTTTGTGAACCAGAAGTGAAAACTGAAGCACTTTTGAAACCTGAAATAGAAAACACATTCAAAGGATTTTAAACACCTTCAAATACAAAGGCTGTCATTCTTAGCAAAAAGAAAATATGCTACTGTTTCAGCTAAAATGATTTTATATAAAAACAAAAAGCAATTCCTATTTAATTCAAAATATGAAAGAATTTATCACAGAATTTAGAAAGAATCACTTAATACACTCAGACTCGGCAAATGAAAAATTTCTAATATCATTATAAATTATTTATCAAGATTTTCAGAAAACTCCTGCATGAAAAACAAGCCATATCTGTACTTTATTATGAGATTATTATAAGGAAAATAAATATCCATAATTTAATAGTAAACAATCAAAATATTCAATGCTAAAAATAATATACATACATATAAAATTTATTGTAGACTGCACTTTTCTTGGAATTCAATCAAACTTTATAAAAGCATTGCTGTTACTTTTAATGCTTAGAGTAAAACTTGCAATATAAGTACTTCTGTTTGACATGTTAGTGGATTTGTTTTAGTTAAAATTTATGCAGAATTTCTTCATCTATTTACTAATATCTATTACACTAAATTTGGGCAAAATTTAAAACTCGTTGTTTTGATTTTGTTGATTCAAAGATTTTTAGAATTTATAATTGTATGAGAAATACTGAATTTATTTAGAATTTAGAATTAGTGAGTTTAGAATAAGAGGTAAACTTTGGGTGAATTTAGAATAAGAAGTAAACTTTGAGTGAATTTAGATTAAGATGTTAATTTTTTTTTTATTTCTTGAACATTCCTGTGATAATAATGTATTTCTGACAAAATTTATTAATTTCCCAAAATGTTTCACATATATCAAAATTCAAATAGCTTAATCACAGTTTTCACATTAAAAGTTATAGTTATAACTAATTCTTTCTCAAACAGAATATAAATTTTTTATCAAAAAAAAGGGGGGGAATTATCACTTTTAGCAAGAGATAATTTGCAACAGATGAAAAAAAGTACATTCTATGATTAGGGCCGGCGGAAGCAGGCCTGCAAGGCCTTCTTTGCAGGCGGGCGCTGGCGCTGACCAAGATAGGGGCACCGTGCAGCCGACGATATACAGCTATTTTTTTAATGCAAAAGAATGTACACTTAACGGCGAAGAAAAATAAATATACCTTGAATGCTAAGAAACATCCATTTGATGAAGTTAATGCACTTATTTTATTTTACTTAATATAATTTCTATTTATCCTTATTTAACCAAATTTATTATAATCTTATTTAAAATACAGTCAGGGAAATATGGCTTTTTTTCCTTGAAAATTTCACTGAGGTTGAGAAGGAAGGAACGGATTAAGCCTTTCTATAAGGGCTAATTTGTCATTTTGCCATATGTAAGAATGAACACAAGTGCCAACTTTTCATTTTCTTCACAGGAGTTGAAGGGGGAGGAGGGGCAAGATTTGCTTGGGTGAAAAATTCAAAGTCGAAAAGAGGATTTATTTTCTCTTTGGTGGGAGAGTGGGGTTCGCAGGGGTTTGTAGTTTAAGTCCAAATTCTCAATGTTTATACACCTTATTTAATGACTAGACTCCCCAATTAAGCATTTTGGTGTGTTAGTGCACGCGTCTGTACAGAAAGACAAAACATATTTAAAAAGCCATTGAGGAACTTACCCCATTAGACACGTAGGCAGGGGTGCTCGAGGTAAAGGACTGAAGTTTTATATTCAGTTATTTTTATCTAAGAACCTTTGTTAGATTTTAAACATTCAGTTGGGTTTTGGGGCTTCGGCCTGCACCCTGCTGGAAAATGGTGCATAGAATGCCCTAAAGACCTTGTCCTCCTCGTTAACGGTCGAAATTTCAAAACTTGATCAATTCTCTCGACATAAAAACAGAATTGTCTAAATTGGTCAATTAAGCTTGGGTTTACCCCACACAGTAGAATTCATACCGGTTGTAGACGTATATTTTTATATATTAGAAATATACAAAAAATATTGTTTATTTGATCTGTTAAAAGTTAAATAGTCCAAAACCCCCAACAGATGTGAAGCATATTACCACTATGTCTGAAAATAACTACAATATCAGACAAAGGTTTAAATAACCCTCTTATTTAAAAAGAACTTAGAACATAAAGGCATGTTCATGCTAACAAAATCAATTACAGCTCACGTTGATGTAATTATTCATACTAATAATGTGGAGTAGTGGCCAAAGATTATACAATTTAATTTTAATTATATCTGGCTCAGTAACTCTATCATATGAGGAAATAGAAATGGGAAATTATAGTAAAAGCTGAACTCATAAACAATTGAGTAATTTAAATAATAATAACTGCACATAGCTTTGAAGAATAATTTTCTTTAGGTATTCAGTTTCTTTTTTCAACACGTTTCCTTTTCATTTTAGAATTTTTGGATTTAAGTTAGGATTTCTATTATTCTAAAAAACACTAAATGCATTTAGAATGTACAGAAAAAGCGGCTAATTTGATTTCTTTAGTAATATGAACATTTAGAAGAAATTTGAAATATATATGGTAAAGGCCGGTTACACAGCTGATGTGGCAGAATTTTTAGAATTTAGTGACACACTGAACAACAAAATCTAGAAATGGCAAGACTTTTAGAATTTAGAGCAAGCATTGGAAGCAGAATTTAGGATCCGCAGAGATTGCATCAGGTGGGAAAATGCCTAGTGCCAGCTGATGCATTTAGACATATTAGATGAAGCTTTTAAATTTCAGTTTTCAATTTCTTTATTAATAAAAAAATCCCCATCTATAATGCCTGTCCATGTGATAAGATTAGAAGCATTTTGATATTTTCCATGCTTGTGTCTAGTTAAAAGTAGAGAAAACAAAGAGAAGATAAACATGTTAAGTTTCTAGTATCATAAGTAAAACATTTAAACATTATGTTTTCATTGTTCTTCCAGATGCTCTCCAAAATGTAAGAAATTCATCGCAAACTTTCTGTAAAATACATCCATTACATGTTGATACCATGGAGACATTTTTCATTTTCTCACATATTTCACGAATCTTCTAGAATCATGGGTCCATAAATCTTGCCTTCAAATCCTTCTAAGCTTTACAAGCTGCAATGTCTAAAATCCTAAAGAAAAATTATCCCTACCATTTCTGTAACAGCAAAAAGCCAAAAATATTTTGGAAAAAATGGGGGGAAAAGTGTAAAATTAATTTTATAGAGGAAACTAATGCACATTCTGACAATTTTGAATATTCTGAGACAATTACATGGAAAAGACTCTTACTATGAAAAATTTTAAATTACATAGCTAATTTTGCTTTTGCTAAGAGCTGTTTCGTAAATTGTACTTTATAGCATTATACATTCTTTATTTTTCAGATTTAAAATATTGTATAAGTTGCCAAAATGAAACTTTATAATATGACAGCAAAAACTAAAAATATTTTATTTTAATGTTATTTTTTAAATATAATTTCAATATATTGCCATTATTTTAATGAAATTTATCAATGTTACGATTTTTTTTTTTTAAAATCGTCAAAAAATTCTCAGATCTCAGAATTAAAGTTTCTATAGAAACTGATTTTAAAATCGCCAACATGTTGAAAAGTCGACAAATTTAGAACAATTTAAAACAAGAATTCACATCACCAAGAGCGAAAAATCTTTAAGAGCTCTTTATTAGAAAAAATGAATTTCAAAATGCTTATGTTTCACTTCTTGCATATATGTCAGTGAATCGCCAAAAATATTCCTCCAAAATGCTAATTCCCACTAAAAATGGCAGTCGTAAAAACAGGCAAAAATTTCAGATGATTAAAATTAAGAACCTTCTGCTGATTTTGGTCAAAATTAAGGACTTTTAAGGACCAAAAATCGGTTCCAAAAATTTTAAGGACTTTTAAGGACCGTACGAACCCTGAGCTAATGAATGTGCTAGGGGGATATTTGCATGGGCATTATTATGTAGTTAATGTTCGCATTGAGCTGGTATCTATTTGTTTTGCTTTGGGTGCTGTTGTGGTGGTGTACAAATGGGTTGAGGAAGCTGGTGTTTGGGGGTCATTGTACACGGGGCCCTTGGCAAGCATTTGATCCATCACACGGTCAAACTTTTCCTTATGATTTGTTAGACAAATGCTATTCTTCACCAACTGCTCAAAAAAATTTTCATAAAGGTTCTTCTTCTTCTTATTATTATTTTTTTTAGTATTTCACTAGCTTAATTTTTTTTTACTTTTCATCTTTATTCTATATTTAGCCGATGTTATGGTTTATTTTAAAAAGATTACATATTTAATATTTAGAACTGAATTTTTAAATTTAAATTTCAATATGAAATTTTGATACATGGAAACAAAGGAGAAATCATCCTGTACGTTGAATCGTAAATGCAAAGTTGAGAAAGATGCTGCTCTTCAGAAGCAGGCAGACGCAATGTCTCATTTCATAAAGAAGATTAAGTCTGCTTTAGAAGTAAATGATGTTCACATTGAATCAGCATCAGAATCAATTACAAAAGAACAGAGATCATCCAGCAAAAGAACATCAGCTACATTGGATGAAGTTATTGAAAGGACAGATGAAACTCCAAAGGAAAGAAATGATGGTCAAAGCATGAAGTTAAATGAATCGGAAATTAAAGATTATCCAGATGATTCGATGGAAGAAAACTGGCATAAATATTCCCTTCATATTGATTTTGATGATCCTGCAAAGTGGCCAACTCTTAGTGACAAAGTTTGAATGACTTCGTCTGAAATGGTGCCTATTCAAAAGAAAGATTTAATGTTTCCAAAAAGCAATAATGGACGTAAATTTAGTGATTCATATTATGACAGAAAAATGGAAAAAGGAGAATTAGTTCCCAGTACATGGCTATTATATTCCATAAATGCAAATTCTGTTTTTTTGCTTCTGTTACAAGATATTTGCATCAAGTGACAGTAGTAGCCTAGTAAAAGGCTATACTGATTAGATAAATGTATCTAAAGCCTTTCATAGGCAGGAGACTAGTAGAGCACATATGA